CACATTGCAATCAATATGACTAGATCGGAACTGAGGAACTGGTGAGTCAGGAGAGAGGGGTCTAAGTTCACTTTGAGATTCTACTGACTCGGGAGAATGCGGCCTGGACTCGGCCACCCATTCGTCTATTGAAGGAAGGGCGCTTTCCTCCACTGCTACAACAAATGTAGGCCAAACAACTTTTAAATCATTTGTTTCATGTGCCAACAAAACATTTGCATGTTGTTCGTATGCAAAGTTGTGCACGTCTGCACGAGTAAGAGGTTTTGCAGCAGACAGCAGTGAAGAATTACATCCTCTCTTTCCACTTTCAAGCATAGGTGGTGTTGTTTTTGAGAATTGATGCATTTTGTTTGGAAACTGTAAATTATAGCTTGGCCTTTCCAGAAAGTGAAATACCATTGGTTTCGGTTTTTGCAATCCTTTGGAGGCCTGAGAAATTTCAGCAAGTTTCTTGTGTTCCTTGTGATCCGAGCAAGAATTAATCTTACATGTTTCCTTTTGCCTTAGCAAGTGTACTGTCTTTTCTTCTGTGATATTTTGTGCTGTATTCGTTAAATCATCTTGTTCCTGAACTAGCAATGCCGTGTCACAAGATTGTGGTTCTAACTTTGAAAGCCAGTAACCAAGGTAAGAGTGATTACTTCCCTTTTCTGCTTTGCAAGGTTGTGATGTCATTGGTTTTAAGTGAACTGACTTTTCTGCTTTACTTGAACAGCCTGAGTTTTCGCTGTGGACACATTTGATGTCTCCGTCCCGTAGCAGATAAGAATTTGATGTGAAAGATTTCACAGGAGGAACATTATCTAAACCTGTTGTTTTTCGTTGCAAGGGACTAACTGGACCGACTTCCTTACCACAGACATCAGGAGCTGACATTAGTCGTGGTGAGGGTGGATTTTCTCCTGAATATCGCAAGAAATAATCACAATACTGATTCCTGAGTTGTGTGCGGGTTGGTTCAGAGATTAAGAGTTCAAGAAATGAGAAACTGCACTGAGAGGTCTGAGATTCTGGAGAGAATGGTCGGCAATTTTTATCTGAACATTCAAACCCATGAATAGATACTGAGTGAGGCGAACATGTTCCTCTGTCAGAAGAAACCTTTTCAAGCAATAATTCAATGTCCGATGTCACAGGCGAGAATGCTCTATGCACTTTCTTTTTATGTGCACCTTCAGGTAATAATTGGCTATATTCCAGTACTTTGGAGTCAGGGGACAGTGGCCAATACTTTTCCCAAGATTCACATGACTCAATCACAGGAAAGGTAAAATGTTTAGAATCAAACCTTGATTCACAGTCATATGTATGAGATTGATGAGGGTTTAATTTGTTTTCAACGAAGCTGATCATAACTTCTGGTGAACTACATGTATCAGACATTGGAGAGAATGCTTGACTGTCATCATATACACTGAAAAAGTCTGCAGGTAATACTCTTCTTTCCCCCTGAGGAGAGTCAGGTGACATTGCCCTATAATCACCAATTGACATGACAGATTCTGGGGACGACAGTCTTGCTATAGAGTCATTTAATATGCATGGGTCTGCAGTGAAAAGATCACTTTCATTAACAGGTGAAAATGAGCCACACTGTTCATCGGACACCAAAGAATCAGGAGTCAAAGGACTGTACGCTATAAAAGTGGAAGGTAATGTCACATCTTCTTCAGGAGATTGTGATGTGAGATGGGTAATTGGCAGGAAAAAGCTAGAAGAGGCAGTCTTCGTTGAGTCACAAACCATGTGAGCAGGCCCACTTGATTTCAGATTGTATGGTAAAATGTTCTTTGATAACTTCATTGGTTTCACCATGCTGTACGTAGCAGGAGCAACAATGGGCTCTACTGACTGGATATCATTATCATCAATGAAGGCCATGTTTTCAGGATACCCATCACTGTATACTTTGGGTTTTGTGTTTTCTTCCTTGCTTGACATGAAGGGTTTGAATCCTGTGCCCACACTTGAAATCTGTGGGATTTGTTCATGATCATACAGTACAGTACAGTAGAATTGGGCTGGTACTTCATCAGTAAACGTCTGAGAGAGCCTGGTTTTTTGGGCTACACCTGTGTCATCTTCAGTCAAGGCCAGAGTGTGATGGTGGTCCTCTGGTGCCAAGGCTAAGAGGCTAGGATCATAGATTCTTCTGGCAATGGTTTTACCTGCATCTGTATTGCAATGCTGTGGTGTACAGCTTAGCTCATCACAAAGCTCACTGAAGTCAGTCTCTGCTTTGTCTGACTCTGACAGGCTCAGACTAAAGTCTCTGATATATACAGATGAGTGTAACTTCACAATTTCAGGTGACTGGCCTTGATCATCTTCACAACCACACTGCTTCAATGATAAGGTTTGGCTGCATTCAGCTTTGACTTGAGTGCCAACTTGGAAAGACCTGACGATATGAGCTTCAACATTGCAGCATACTTGCTGGTCTTTCACTCTGGGGTCATAAACCTGAGTTGCTTGCCTCCCCAGTGCTGCTTCTTTTGAAGTGCGTAGCGTACTTACTTGCTCATCTGAGTTGTCGTAAATTGCAGGTTCTTGTATAATAACATCCTCAGAGGTCCACAGGTTAGGGTTCAATTCACTGTAAAATGAAAAAGATAGGTCACATAATGCGACTTTCATGATGAATGTGATATGTCAGAGCCTGAATATACCAATACAAAACACCCACACCCACAAACAGTGGACATGGGACAAATACCCACTATATGTCCCATTGCACTACTGCTGTCAGGATTACTCACTGTTCTATTTGCTAGCATCACCGTGGTGAGAGATACTAGAAACAGCAGCTTTGAATACCCTTCAATAGCTTTACTTCTATTTGCCTGTTATGTGCTATGGGTGTTAATTAAAGTTCAGCAACAATGTGCTCCTGTGTTACACTGCCAATGTGTGTTGCAGAGACGAGAATTATTTCAAGTAAATAATTTACTGTGGGATCTCAAGCTCCTCCAGTAGGTCACCATGCATGCTCTCTGAGGGTGTGTGTCCAACAGGCTCTGCCCATGAAGGAATATCCAGTAGGGAAGCAACAGATAGGTCTTCTTCAGAAACAGCTGGAGGTGGTCTACGGTCTGACTCCACTTTTCTCACGATTCTGGGGCTGTCTACATCCTCTTGCACCGAAGATAGGGCTACTGATACTGAAAAACACATACACGCACACACGTATGATAAAAAAAAGAATGCAAGCAAACCTAGAAATAGAGCCTAATGTAAATAGTTTGGAGCCATTACTACCTTCACTGTGATCCAGTGTCTTCTCTATCTCTGCGTAAGTTCTTGATGTTTGCTCCTGAACTGACTTGTTCATCTGGGTTTCAATTAGATGGACAATGTCCATGCGGTTGATCTTGGTAAGTCTTTTAATCAGACAGTCCTCTGTGGAAGGATTTAGCAATCATTATGAGAAGGTAAAAAAAAATAAATAAGAAACTTATTCGGAAAATTAGAGACAAAAGATTGCATTTAATCAGCAGTGTAAATATTGGGGAACTAAATACACAAGTCAATTCAACACTAAATAAAAAAAATATCATTCCACAGGCTGTGAGAATTAAAGTAAAAGGTTTATTGTGCATTCACCATCTTCAAACAAATAAACAATGCCTAAAGGACCTGAAGCACTGTACTGACATATATGGATAAACTGTCAAGTGAAACCTGTCAAACCACAACACCATGTACCTGTAGCATGTTTGCCTTCCCGCTCAACCCACCGCTGCAGCAAGGCATGGCTCTGCTCTTGGAGAGAATTGGGATTCTCTGTTCTTACTAGTTGAATATCATCCTCACTGAATTCAAGTTCTCTTGCCAGTTCTGGTGTGACAGATAACAAATCAAGAAATAAAAAAGTAAAAAAGCAAACTTGAATGATATATTCAGTGTTTTGCTGCTGTAACATGGATAGAACAATTTTGGCTATTCCGTACATCTTGCACAAAAAAAATGCACTTTTGAAAATTTTGTTTAAAACATACAATAATAGCATTATTTGACAACTTACCAGTCCAGCTGAAGCCAAGAAGATCTGCAATGATAGCTAATGTTTCCTCTTTCCTGTCAGCATCATCCTGCCAATCAACTAAACAAATGCCACCATATCCAAACATTAAATTTTAGCATTATGGGTAACTGTTCAAGCTGTCAAATACCATCATTAACAATACATCTTGTAAAAAAAAAAAAAAAAAAAAAAAAAAAACTTTCCATACTGCAGGTAGCTGCCGTGTGAAATAAGCTTTCAAGTATAGATGTAAAATGGGCTTTAAACTTAATGTGGATCTGTAATGTTGACGTGGATGATAACATAAAGGTTGGATTTCAGAGGAGTTGATGTGTTTATGGACAATGACTATTTGGTCACAATTAGCACATCATGCTTTTTAACTATTAGTGTAAGCCATGTCATTGATGTGCTGTTAAAGCAATGTGCAAGGTAATATTAACATTAGTCAGTATTAGTATACATAACACCAATACAATAGTCAAACTCTGCATCAAAATAGTTGAAGCTAATTCCCTAACTAACATAGCCATTCAATCTTGAGATTGCAAATACAACAACAGATGGAGAAGTAACTGACTAACATGCAAAACACCACAACGTACACATAAACACACACGCACACACACGCGCGCGAACACACAAACGTGTGGAAAAGACAACAGTGCAAGATGGGACAAGACAAATCACAACATATGAAAACATCACGAAATGAGTAATGGTGACATTTTTCTTAAGAAGAAACAGTCTTGCTGTTGAGGAGAAGCGATAAAAACAGCAAAAGCCCATTGTAGGTCTGGCCATACCTGGCATACACTCTGGAGTTTGATCATCGATGACTCTCTGCATCTGAGTTTCCACTGTGTCATCCCAGGCAGGCCTGGATTCAAATACATCCTCTGTCCCACAAGATGGATGCACAACTGGCAACAGATTACTATCAGAATCGGAACTGTGTGACGCTGGAGTTTCATATGTGAACATAACAGAATCTGGACTCCTGTGACTAGCGCTACTTGCATCATCAGTATCCAAAGAGGACCTAACAGATGTTTCTATAGTCGTGGACAGTTGGATGTCTTCCATTGGGGAAGAGCTCGAGGAGATCATTTGAGCTGGACGTGTTTGTTGCATCATGTCACCAAGTTTGGATGGAGAAAGGTTGGATTTATTAGTGGGTTCGCCACTGTCAGAATAACTCCTACTGTCTTTATTAGAGGCTTTACTTGTGGTACTAGCCTCAGATCTAGTCCTACGAACCAAAGTTGTGCTTTTTTCTGTGCTTCTTTTAACCTGATCAAACTCAGTTGTCTGTGACCCTTTCATGTATTTTTCCAAACTGAAATGGCTAGTCTCTTTAATTGCTGTTCCTGGTTTGATTGCCATAGGTAGGAGTGTTTCCTGATGACTTGCTGGAATGTCAGGCTGTGCAGCTGAAATAGTCATCTCTATGACTGAACACTGGTCTTCTTCATCTTCCTCCACCTCATCATCATCATCATCATCATCAGGAGAGGAGTCTGAGAAATCTTGGCTCTGCTCTGCATACGCAGAATGGCCAAATGTGGATGTGTCTGACTGAAGGTCAGCAATGGTGGAGTCTAAATAGTCTAGTCCAAGGCTTTTAAGGCTTTCAGCTTCAGTTTTAACATTTGTTAGATTTTCCAAAGCACTGGCAGCATCAAGCTGAACGTCTGTGAGGCTGCCAAGATTAGTAAGTGGCTTTTCAGGCTCTGACTTATCATTTGACATTTTGATGAGAGTCCTGGGTTTGGGACGAGGAATTTCGTCACTGATATCCTCTTTCACATGTGATTTTGGGGTCTCTTGAAGAGTTGTGTCTGAATCTGAATTCCCACTTTGTAAACGTAACGATTGTGTATGGAATTCTTCAGTCTCTTCTGGAACAACTTCATCAACTGGATGTTCCCCAATGTGAAAAAATGCATATCCATCCACCTCTTCGTCAAAGCTTCTCCTTGTCATATCAATAGCTCCGCCTCTGGTCATTTCAAAAAGCTTCCCCTCTTGAAACTGAAATGGATCAGGGGATTTCTCATCACCTGGTGTTCGAATAGGTGTTTTATCAGGTGTTTTTCTGTCATCTACAGGACTACGATTCATTTGTTCCTCTGCTTTAACCTGTGCGTTGTTATCCTCACATCCTATAACATAGTCTAGTTCATTAGTAGATGCTATAGCCCCCGGTTTGCTGATAGAACATGAACCATCCATCAGTGGTGAGTCCACTTCTTTGTCATCATCTGAATAGTCCTTTTCTTTCACAGAGCAGAAAAAATGTGTGTCAGTGAGTGGTGAATACTCACCTTTTGTGGTGTCTCTATCCTTGTGCATTTCTACTTCTCTTTCCATAAACAGTGACAAGGAGTCCTTTCCTTCTTGATCAGGTTCCTCTTTCTGAGTTGCAGTGAAACACAATGAATCATCTACCAAATGAGTAGTTTCAAGATGTGATGGATTCTCTGCCATCTCCTTAATGCACAAGCTGGTATCTGCTGCCTCATCAAGTGCCTGAGTACTGGAAGACTGTATACCTGGGCCAAATCTTAGATCTCGTTCGCCATATTCAAGATCACCTGTCTCTGATTGTGCAGTTGCATCTGTCTTCATTTTAGATTTCTGTTCCATTTCCTCAAATGTTTTGATCTTTGCAGCCATTTTAAACATCTCCTCTTCTGGAGTGAACTGCTTATTGGTGGTTTCATCCCCATTATCACCTTGGTCGAGAGAGTCTTGCATTTGGATGATCTCAACATTGTGTTCTTGCTCATCATGCTCACATTCATCTGTGTAAATATTTTTGTCATCAGCCAAACATGCTTTGAGCTGGGAAGCATAATCCTCATACACAGCTGTCTTGGTGTCTCTACTCTTCTGCATTTCTACTTCTCTTTCCACAAACAGTGCTAAAGAGTCCTTACCTTCTTGATCAGGTTCCTCTTTCTGAGTTGAAGTTAAACACAATGAATCATCTACCAAATATGTAGTTTCAAGTTGTAACGGATTCTCTGACATCTCCTTAATGCACAAGCTGGTATCTGCTGCCTCATCAAGTGCCTGAGTGCTGTCTGTCACACATTTTTCATAATCTCTCTGTAGTGCATCTTGAGAGGAAGACTGTATACTTGGGCCAAATCTTAGATCTCGTTCGCCATCTTCAAGATCACCTGTCTCTGATCGTGCAGTTGCATCTGTCTTCATTTTAGATTCCTGTTCTATTTCCTCAAATGTTTTGATCTTTGCAGCCATTTTAAACATCTCCTCTTCTGGAGTGAACTGCTTATTGGTGGTTCCGTCCCCATTATCATCTCTGTTGAGAGAGTCTTGCATTTGGATGATCTCAACATTGTGTTCTTGCTCATCATGCTCACATTCATCTGTGTAAATATTTTTGTCATCAGCCAAACATGCTTTGAGCTGGGAAGCATAATCCTCATACACAGCTGTCTTGGCTAGCATCTGAAGATCTGTGCTCTTTGGTTGAGTAGGACTTCCCTCAAGAGAGTCTGGACAAGGGGATTCTTTGGTAGGGCTTGGCTCAATTGAATCAGGGGATTTATTTGAAGATCTATCCTCCATGAGAGGACTTGCCTCTAGTGAATCTCGATGACATGGCTCTTTGATTGGGTCTTCAGATCCAACAGTGTTTAGGTTCTCCAAATCAGATGGTCTTTGTGGTGTGCTATAACTACTTGGTAGTTCCAAAGAATCATGTGTTTTGAGAAATGAAGAAGGAGAAACTGCAGTAACATCTTTACTTGATGACGTTTTAGTCTCCAACACCATGCTTGATGTTAGTTCATCGACTCCACCTA